GGGAGCAGTCTTGGCAATATTGCCCCAATAGGCCCGGTAATGGAGCACATCTGTGTCATTCGTTCATTTAACAAATATTAACTGTCTGCTATGAGTCAGGTCCTGGTCAAGGAGCAGAGACAAGACAGTGAACAAGACGGTGCCTCTGGTGCCTCTGGAGCTAGCTGACATTCTACTTGGGGAAATTGACAATAACTAAAAGAAATAAGTGAAATATGTAGTGGTCACAGGGTGGTAAGTGATGAGGAGAAAAATAAAGTGAGCAAGAGGCGGGGGGGGCACAACTGAAACAATGTGGTTGAAGAAGGCATCAGGGAGTCAGTAGAATGGAGCCACTATGTTAAAATTTCGCCATGAGAGCAGATTGTAGTGAGGAAACAGGCCATGGGGACTCAGAATAGTGCTGTCCAATAGAAATTGAATGTGAGGCCAGGCATGGTGGCTCATGCCTGTAATCCCAACACTTTGGGAGGCCAAGGCAGGTGGATCACTTGAGGTCAGGAGTTCAAGACCAGCCTGGTCAACATGAAGAAACCCCGTCTCTACTAAAGATACAAAAATTAGCCGGGCATGGTGGCAGGTGCCTGTAATCCCACCTACTCGGGAGGCTGAGGCAGGAGAATCACTTGAACCCAGGAGGCGGAAGTTGTAGTGAGCCAAGACCACGCCACTACACTCCAGCCTGGGTGACAGAATGAGACTCTGTCTCAAAAAAATAAAAAAAAAAAAGAAAAAGGATAGAATGTGAGCCACAAATGTAGTTACAAATTTTCTAGCAGTCACATTAAAACAGTAAAAATGGATTAATTTTAATAATTTATATTCTATTTAACCTGTCTAAAATATTATCACTTCAATATGTAGTCAATACAAAAATAATGAGATCTTTTACAATCTGTTTTTCTTACTAAGTCTTTGAAATCTAGTGTGTATTTCACACTTACAGCACATCTTAATTCAGACGCCAAATTTTTAACAGATAAAATGCAATACAGTCCTACTAAAACAATGAAGTCATGTAATAAAAAATATTTTACATTCAAAATACTTTCACATTACATTTACATTTAAATTACTTCAATTTTAAAATTTAGGCTGAGCATAGCAGCGCAAGCCCTATGTTGCCCAGGCTGGTCTCGAACTCCCAGGCTTAAGTGATCGGCCCACCTCAGCCTCCCCAAGTGCTGGGAAACCTTTTAAAACTAGAACAAACTGCCATATGCCCTTACCCAGATTCACCAGTGGTTAACACTTTGCTTCATGTGATTTACCATCCATACCCTTGCTAATATATTTATATCAGTGCATATGTTTTGGAACCATTTGAGAGTAAGTTGCAGACACGAGGCCTTTTTACTCCTACATTCTTCAGCGTGTATGTCTTAAGAACAAGGCCATTCTCTCACACAATTACAGTAGTTATCAAAATCAGAAAATTTAACAACTCAGTTCTATTTTTAACTCAATCTGTAGTCTAAATGACTCTAATCCCTGTATGTCTTTTATAGTGATTTTCTTAGATCAGGGGATTTCTTGTTTAACAGATGGGTCAAGGGATTGAGAAACATTGACCCTGTGCCTTAGCAGAGTAAAAAACAGAACAGCAGCCCAGGGCTGCTTCACGCATATAATCCCAGCAATCTGGGAGGCCAGGGCAGGCGGATCACTTCAAGAGTTCGAGACTAGCCTGGCCAACGTGGTTGAAACCCCATGTCTACTAAAAATACAAAAAAAATTAAAAAAATAAAAAAATAGCTGGGAATGGTGGCGGGTGCCTATAATCCCAGCTACTCACCAGGGGTGGGTGGGGGGCAGGCGCTGAGGCAGGAGGAGTGCTTGAACCTGGGAGGCGGAAGTTGCAATGAGCCAAGATTGCGCCACTGCACTCCAACCTGGGCAACACAGTGAGGCTTTGTCTCAAAAAAGCAAACAAAAAAGCAGAGCAGCAGACGCACACAGAGGGTCAGCAGAGAACTGGGCACTGGTCCATGCTTGACACATAAGCATCCTCGGAGCCAAGGACTCGGGTGATGGTTTATCTGGGATGTGATCCCAGGAAGCGCGAGTGGGGAAGAGACAGGGCAGGCGGAAAGCCAAAAACAGTGCTCACACCACTGTGGGCAACTGGGGGTCCATCCCACAGGGTACCTCTGAGGAACCCTGCAGAACACATGTTCCACCAGAGGACAGGTGCTCATCCAGTGACTGCTGCCCCCTACAGGCTGAGGGTTGCCTCTGAGGACATTAACCCACCTCCCAGGACTCTCAGGAAGCCCTCAGGCAGAGCAACAAGAGATGCAGGGGCTCAGGGTAGGAGGCTGCAACCTCCTGAGAACCTGCTTCTGCAGCTGCAAGTGAACCCAAGAGCGCAGGAGGGCCATGGGTGGGGGTCAGGCCTCATCATCTGCTGTCACAACAGGGTTTTTTGGGGTTTTTTTTTGAGATAGAGTCTCACTCTCGTCAGGCCTCATCATCTGTTGTCACAACAGGGTTTTTTGGGGGTTTTCTTTGAGATAGAGTCTCACTCTTGTTGCCCAGACTGGCGTGGTGGTGCATGCCTGTAATCCCAGCTACTCAGGAGGCGGAGGCAGGAGAATTGCTTGAACCTGCGAGGCAGAGGTTGCAGTGAGCAGAGATCGCACCATTGCACTTCAGCCTGGGCAACAAGAGTGAAATTCTGTCTCAAAAATAAATACAATAAAATAAAATAAAGAATAAAAATATTAGCTGGGTGTGGTGGTGCACGCCTGTAGTCTCAGCTACTCAGAAGGCTGAGGTGGGAGGATCACTTGAGCCTGGGAAGCTTAGGCTGCAGTGAGCTGTGCCACTGTACTCCACCCTGGGTGACAGAGACCCTGTCTAAAAAAAAAAAGTTAGATCACTCACCTGTGATCACATACTCAGTAAGTATGGGAGCTGGGATTCAAACCCTGCCTTCCCATTCCCGGGTCCGTGCTCTTAGCCATTGCTCACCTGTACAGCTCCTCCCTCAAATCAGGCATTCCTCCATCCTCTCCACCGGGCAAATCTCACTCATCTGTAACACCCAGGTTAACGTGTCTTCCCTTCCGACCCAGGATGCCTGGCCCCACTGGAAACTTGATCCCTGCCTGCAGCCCTGCCAGGAGCTCCAATCCTGGGGCTTGTCAGGGTTCAAGATCATGGAGCCAGGAGTGAGGGGGTGGCAGGAGATGCAGCTGGAGATGTAATTAGGGGGGCTGGATGGGTAGGACCCCATTGGTCTTTGGCTTTTACTTTGAGATGGAGCCAGGAAACAACATGATCACCCTGATGGAAGCAATTGAGGCTGAGAGAGATGAATGAGGTGGCTGAGGTCCCATGGTGAGGACAAACCTGAGACAAAGCTGAAGTAGAAGCCACGAGCAAGTAAACCCACAGCCTTGTGCCTGGGGCACGCCAGGCCCCAGCTGAGACCCTGCATTTCTTCCTTTTGCCCCCTCCAGGCCTTTCCCCACACTGGTCTTTTATTTTATTTTATTTTTATTTATTTATTTATTTTTGAGACATAGTCTCACTCTGTTGCCCAGGCTGGAGTACAATGGTGTGATCTTGGCTCATTGCAACCTGTACCTCCAGGGTTCAAGCGATTCTCCTGCCTTAGCCTCCTGAGTAGCTGGGATTACTGGTGCCCACTACCACGCCTGGCTAATTTTTGTATTTTTAGTAGAGACGGGGTTTCACCATATTGGCCAGGCTGGTCATGAACTCCTGACCTTGCGATCTGCCCACCTTGGCCTCCAAAAGTGCTGGGATTACAGGCGTGAGCCACCGCGCCCAGCCTTGGTCTTCGTGCCTAGAAGCCTATCCTGGCAATTAATTCTTCAAATTCCAATTCTACTTTATAACCATTTGGGCATGTGGCTCCCCCACTAGGATTAGGACAGCGACTGTTTCTCTTCCATCCATCCTCCCTTTGGTCTGAGGTCTATGCTCCTTACCTGTGGTCCTCCTCCCCACAGCTACATCCACAAGAACTCATTTCCACTTACTTAACTGACATGGGTGCAAATACAGCTCAGTGATGCAAACTGCATCCCTCCACAGAATGTCTAGGGCAGGCCCATATGGGGACACAAGAGGGAGTATACCTGTGATCTATGGGGTTCATCTCCCCTCCCCTGCCCCAGGCCTTGTCGTTCATTGTAGCTGAGGCTGGACCCTTCAGCTGCGTTTGAGAAATTTCCAGGTCTGAGACCCCCACTACTGCCTCAGAGGCTTTGAGCCAGTTCTCAGCTCCACCATTTCCTGTCCCACACAAAGATGTTAAACAACTTGCCCTCCATTAGGGAGCCAACTGGGGTATCTTTGGGGGTTAAGCCAGGATGAACCCCCTCCACAAATCTGCCCAGGGGAGAGAACTATGCTGCTTCAATCAATGTGCCAGTCTAGAGGACTCCGGAGGGAGTCAGATTCCCACACCTATTACCTCCCAGATGGTCCCTTCCAGGTGTCTGTGTGTGTGTGCGGTGGTGGTGGTGGGGGGGGGGGGTTTCAAAAATCCTCAAATATATAAAAGCTTTAAGACCACCAACAGGAAAGTAGACATATCCCCAATTTTATTCCCTTTGTCCAACATTCTGAGAGGGAAGGGGCAAATGAGTCAACGTTGCCCCTCAAAACCATCAAGTAGGGCCCTTTAGTTGATCAACCAGGGTGACAGACCGCTAGCCCCTTCCTCGTGGTCCTGGCTTGTCACAATTAATGGGGGAAAGTTTTCCCAAAGGGGATTCCGGGCTTCTCACCGCTTGATCAGGGAACCTTCCCAATACTTTCTCAGCAAAAAGTCTGCACTTCTCAGAGTTAAATATAGGAGAGGGGAGACTCGAGGAGCCAGAGGTGGGTGTGTTCTCAGGGGTCAAGAGAAGGGTGTCTCAGGCTCTCCCTGTCCAGCAGGGGGCGTCCTGGCTCCCCGTACCTTCGGGCAAGTAGCTCTCGGCTTGACACTGTCCAGCCCGCCGGCGTCCCAGGCCGCCCCAAGCCCTCATGGGGGAGGAGCGCCGACCTGTCTCCAAGCACCGGAAAAGGTGGGCCTCTCTTGCCGTCCATCATGAGGCTCTCTAGGCCCCCTGCGTCGCCAAGGGGCAGTCTCTGACATCCCCAATTCGTCGAGCTAGTCTCTCGAGATCTCTCACCTTAGGCGGGTTCCCCAGGCCCCCCACGCAGTCAGGCGAGCCTCCTGGCTCCACCACGCCATCGAGCGAGTTCGGCTCTTCGCCAGTCACCGTCCGTCGGGCCGGGTCTCCGGTGCCCCCGTGCTGTCGTGGGGGTTCCTTGGACCGTCGCCGTCGTCAGGCTGGGAACCCACGCCGCCAGGCTCCTCGGTCGGGGCCCGCGGGCGTACGAAGGCGCCCATGGCGGTGGCGTGGCCTGAGCGTAGCAGCTGCAGCTGGCGCCGCCCGCGGCGGTACAGGTACTCGATGCGCAGCACGTCGGAGCGCGGCAGGCCCGCGTGCTGCCGGAACTCGGCCCGCACTCGCGCCTCGGCGCCCGGTTTCCCGCGTCCGGCACGCAGCAGATCGCGGTACAGGCTCAGAACCTGCCGCTGCAGCCGGCTGTGCCGGCTCATGACCGCGGCTAGGCAGAGACGCTCAGCGAACTCCCTGCTAACCGCCGAGCCGCCACACAGCGAGCCAAGGCCAAAGGGCAAAGCCACAGCCACTTCCGCCCTGCGCTTCCCTTGGCCCCCAACTCCCGCCTCCCGCCATCCGGCGCTGCCGCGTCTGATTGGCTGTCGTTGCTGTTGCACCACAGCGGGCTGGGAGAAGTGGGCGGAGTCTCTGGTCGCGGCCTCCCCTGTAGGGAACACGTGTTCTTGAAGGGACTGCAGTTCTGGGGATCCTGGCACCTGCGTGTCGTAGGAGGAGGTCGCTATGTGTTCGGACTCCTAGGTCTTGGGTCGGAGGGAACAGAGGGTCCTGACCTAACTCCTGCGTTCTGGGAGAAGAGGAAGCTAGGGTTTGTTTTTTTGTTTTTTTGTGACGGGGTCTCGCTCTGTCGCCCAGGCTGGAGTGCAGTGGCACGATCTTGGCTCACTGCAGCCTCGAACTCCTGGGCCCAAGCGATCCTCCCACCTCAACTTCCCGAGTAGCTGGAACCACAGGTGCGCGCAACCGCGCCCCCTATTTTATTATTATTATTATTTGCAGAGATGGGGTCTCGCTATGTTGCCCAGGATGGCCTCGAACTCCTGGGCTCAAACGATTCTCAGCCTCCCAAAGTGTTGGGATTCCAGGCGTGAGCCACCGCGGCCTGCTACGGGTTCGGACTTTGGGTCCCAACGGCACGGAGCACTGGGAGAGACACTGGGCACAAGCGTGCTCTTGCCGTCAGTTACTGATTGAAACCATCTCAGGAAGCTCCGTGCGTTCCCTCGTCCGGGGCAGGTCTGTGTCTGGGGTCCCAGCCCTAGGCACGTGCAGAGGGACGAGGCCCCGTAGGGAAATGGCTCTCGGCTGGTTGGACAGGCTTCTCCGTGCTAGGGGAAGACAAGCAGAGCGGGTGTGGGCGCCAAGCCCCCAGAGGCAGCGTGTGGCTCTAGGAGCTGGGTTGGTCGCGCCCTCTGCAGGTGGGAGTCGGGGCACTGGGCAGCGGTGTTTGGGTCCTCACGGACTGTTAAAGCCGGGAGTCTGGGACGCCCTGAACAGTGGACTAGACTGGCAGCCCGTTGTCCTCCCAGGAGCTTCAGGTCGTAGGCCGCAATGCCGTTGTTGTCCCCGCGGGCCGCCTGGAGGCGTCCTGGTAGCGCCAGGGAGGCCCGCAAGGACACAGCATCCTCAGGCCCCACCAGCACCGGAGCTTGGGGGACCGCTCGGTGACAACCCCAGACCCCTCCACCCAGTGTGCAACTGCGGCTCACACACTTGGGCCGGCAGCCAGCTGGGGGTCCGTTCCTCTTCAGAGAGGAGAAGCTGGTCAGGGGCGGAGATTAGGCTTGGAGTTTCGGAGTCAAGGGAGAATCAGAAACCACTGTGAATCCTGCCTGTCGGGTGTATGTATGTCTATCAAAAATACATGTCCTAGAACAAGCGCGGTGGCTCACACCTGTAATTCCAGCAGTTTCGGAGACTGAGGCGGGCAGACCACCCGAGGTCAGTAGTTCAACACCAGCCTGATCAACATGGTGAAACTTCTGCCTTTAGGTTCAAGTGATTCTCGTACCTCAGCCTCCCCAGTAGCTGGAATTATAGGTGCACACCAGCACATTGGGCTAATTTTTTGTATTTTTAGTAGAGACGGGGTTTCACCATATTGGTGAAACTACAGCCTTGATCTCCTGGGCTCAAGCAATCCTCTCACCTCAATATGTCCAGTAGTTAGGATTACATGAACATCCCACCACACCTGGATAATTCTTCTTTTATTGTTTTTTATAGAGACAAAGTCTCACTATGTTGCCCAGGCTTCACTCTGGAATTTTAAATATTTATTTTTTGTTTTGTTTTTAGAGACAGAGTCTTGCTATGTTGCCCAGATTGGTCTTGAACTCCGGCCTCATCCTCCCGAGTAGCTGGGATAATAGGGATGAGCCACCATGCTGGCTTGTACTCTGGAATTTAAACATCTATGTTTTTCCTGTCAAGTGACCCTTAATCTCCAAGACAACCTGTCAATCAGCCTAGGGGACTTTCTTTTTTTTTTTTTTTTTTTTTTTTTGAGACGGAGTCTCGCTCTGCCGCCCAGGCTGGAGTGCAGTGGCCGGATCTCAGCTCACTGCAAGCTCCGCCTCCCGGGTTTACGCCATTCTCCTGCCTCAGCCTCCTGAGGAGCTGGGACTATAGGCGCCCACCACATCGCCGGCTAGTTTTTTGTATTTTTTTAGTAGAGATGGGGTTTCACCGTGTTAGCCAGGATGGTCTCGATCTCCTGACCTCGTGATCTGCCCGTCTCGGCCTCCCAAAGTGCTGGGATTACAGGCTTGAGCCACCGCGCCCGGCCTCTAGAGGGTTTCCTAGGTGATATCCCTGCCCTCTGACTCTGGCTCCAGCTCTGGTACACGGCCCAGCCCTGGCTACTTAGAGACAAATCAGAACATCCCATCCCCTGACCCCTGTAATTGTTTAGGGATGGGCAAATGACCTCCACTGGGACAATGAGCATCAGCCCTGGGACTTTTGTTGAAACTGTCAAGAAAGAAGTGCTGTCTCCCGGCTGGGACTGCTAGACTGTATATCATCAACCTGGAGCGGTGGCAGATCACTCTGCCCGCAGACAGAGAGCTGGTTTGAAAATGAGGCTGTGGCAGTCTCAGATACACATTCTCCATTCCTTTCCTAGAAATAGCATTTTTTTTTTCTTTTTTTGATACGGAGTCTCGCTCTGTCACCCAGGCTGGAGTGCAGTGGCGTGATCTCTGTTCACTACAACCTCTGCCTCCCAGGTTCAAGTGATTCTCCTGCCTCAGCCTCCCGAGTAGCTGGGACTACAGGGATGCGCCACCACATCCAGCTAATTTTTGTATTTTCAGTAGAGATGAGGTTTCGCCATATTGGCCAGGCTAGTCTAGAACCCCTGACCTCAAGTGATCCGCCCACTTCAGCCTCCCAAAGTGCTGGGATTATAGGCGTGAGCCACTGTGTCTGGCCTTTTTTCTTTTTCTTTTTCTTTTCTTTCTTTTTTTGAGATAGGGTCTTGCTCTGTTGCCCAGGCTGGAGTGCAGGGGCATGCTCGTGACTCACTGCAGCCTCAAATTCCCGGGGTCAAGCGATCTTCCCACCTCAGTCACCTAGGACTATAGGCGCTCCACACCATGCCTGGCTAATTTTTGTATTTCTTGTGGAAACAAGATTTCACTATGTTGCCCAGGATGTTCTCAAATTCCTAGGCTCAAGTGATCCTCCCACCTCGGCTTCCCAGAGTGCTGGGATTACAGGCATGAGCCACCACACTTGGCCCAATTAGAATCGTTAGCTGCACACATGGCCACTTAGCTAAAGATATATCTTCCAGCCCCCTTTGCAACCAGATGGGGCCCTTCCATAAAGTTTGGCCACTGGGAAGTGAATGGATGTGATGTGTGCCATTTCTGGGTTTTGTCCTTAAAGGGAGGAGGCCTGGTCTCTTTGTCCCCTCTTTTCTCCTTCCAACTTGCAGGAATGTAGCTGTGGTGAGGAACAGATGAGGGCAATACCACAGGGGAGGCAGAGCCACATGACAGATGGAGCCTGTGTTGGAGGAGGCAAGCTGGTTATACTTGGACTGCCTGTCAGAGATAATTAGGCTTCTATCACGTTTAAGCCACTGTAGGCTGAGCGTATTGGCTCACGCCTGTAATCCTAGCACATTGGGAGGCTGAAGTGGGAGGATTGCTTGCACCCAGGAGTTCAGGACCAGCCGGGGCAACACAACAAGACCTTTTCTCTACAAAAAAAAAAAAAAAAAAAAAAAATTGGCCCGGCATGGTGGCACATAATTGTAGTCCTAGCTACTTGGGAGGCTGAGGTGTCAGGATTGCTTGAGCCCAGGAGGTCAAGGCTGTAGTGGCTATGATCACGCCACTGCATTCCAGCCTGGGTAACAGAGTGAGACCCTGTCTCTGAAAACAAACAAAAAGCTTAAGCCACTGTAATTTTGAGCTTTTGCTCCACCATATGGACCTGGAGCCTAACTACTATAGAAGCTAACACAGAAAAAGGAAAAGGCAAGGATGAAAGATGGAAAGAAACTAAGTTCTTAGCAACATCGTTTGAGTCCTTGAACCAGCCAGACCTGAAGGCCTCATCTTTACAGGTAAGCAAAAGTAGACAAATTCTCTTCTGTATTTAAGACAGCTGGCATCATTTTCTGTCATTTACAACTGAAAATGCTAACTGATATACTGGTGATTCAGGGTATACCTTATGATGAGGTTTGGGAGACTCATCCTCACCTCCCAGGCCTGGAGATCCCTCTCACCAGAAGGTAGCATTGTGGAAGCAGCCACAGTGGTCCTGGGACACACAGTCTGTGCCATCAATGGTGAGGCCACGCTCATAGCTCTCATAGCATCGGGAAGAACAGTGAGCGGGGTTGGCAGGCAGGACACACCCCCAATCATAGGTCTGTGCACAGATGCTATAATGGCCTTGGGGTGGGCAGGTCTGTGCTGCAGGCAGTTGGCAAAGATAAATGCCTAAGGCTCAAATTTCTTTTCTTCTTCCTTTTCCTTTTCCTCTTCGTCTTCTTCTTCTTCCTCTCCTTCTCCCTCTTCCTCGTCTTCATCTTCTTGTTCTTTCTTTCTCCTTCTTTTTTTTTTTTTTTTTTTCTGAGATGGAGTCTCCCTCTGTCCCCCAGGCTCGAGTGCAGTGGTGTGATCTCCATTCACTGCAACCTCCGCCGCCAGATTCAAGCAATTCTCTACCCTCAGCCTCTTGAGTAGCTGGGACTACAGGTGTGTGCCACCACACCCAGCTAATTTTTGTATTTTTAGCAAAGACAGGGCTTCACTATGTTGGCCAGGCTGGTCTCAAACTCCTGACCTCAGGTGATCCACCCACCTCAGCCTCCCAAAGTGCTGGGATTACAGGCATGAGCCACCACGCCTGGCCTCAAATTCCCCTTTCCAATCTCATTGCCTCTGCCCCTAGTCAGCCTGGCTTCCCATTGGTATTTCCCCACCTCCACACCTTTGCAGCTGCAGCTCCCTTTCCCTTGGATCCCCTTCCCACACATTCTCCTCCACCAATTCCACCTA